GATAGAGTTGCTGTGAGGCTAAAGTTAATTAATACATATAAAAGAATTTGAGCCATTGCCTGGTAAGCACCTGATAAAATATTAATGACTCACATTATTAAATCTACTTCCAAATATAAAATTCTGTAATTGAACCTTAAAGAAGTACATAATCAAAGACCTAGTAAGTAGGACGCAGGCTATAGAAACTCATTGAATATAGGATGTCTGGGCTGGAAGTGTCCTTAGAGACAACCTACTTGAGCCTCCTCTCTTTACAGAGGGGTGGGAAACCAGGATTCAGAAGAAGGAAGTGACTTTCCCTGGATCACAAAGACCTAGTAAGTAGGACGCAGGCTATAGAAGCTCATTGAATATAGGATGTCAGGGCTGGAAGTGTCCTTAGAGACAACCTATCTGTAAAGGTGGGAAAATAGGATTCAGAAGAAGGAAGTGACTTCCGATGGATCGGATGGCTCATTAGTAGTAGAAACAGGACTATTAACTCTGATGAGTGTTCTTTCTGTGCCTCCCTTATTTTAGTTTGACAAAAAATTAAGTCTTCACTCGTGCATTGAGCATCTATTCCAATTTAAGCCCAGCATTGGGCTCTGTAAATACAGATATGAAATAGATAATTCTTGGCCTCTAAAGGAGCCTACAGATCAACAAAGAGCTAAACAAGCCTAAGAATGTAATAATGTTTCTGTTTTTTAAATTTCCGTTTCTCTCTTTCTTTTGCAGCCAATAAAAAGAAGGAGAAGGAGCGGCCAGAGATTTCTCTTCCTTCAGATTTTGAGCACACGATTCACGTTGGGTTTGATGCTGTCACAGGGGAGTTTACAGTAAGTCCCAGGCCTCAGAAAGGCCTTCAGAGTTCTGGCTGTGCACTGTGAGAGGCAATCCTTTCTAGTCTTCCTGATGCTTCTGTCTGCTTGAGACCCTCATTGCTATTTTCTTTTATTCACGAGAGGGACACTTGACGAGTCTCCAAAATTGCACCGAAGAATCTTTTTGAATCTTCATTTCTTAAACAGAGCTCTGTGAGGTGGCCTTTTGGCGGCAGGCTCTGTTCTGGGCGCTGATGGTGAAGAGACAAATCAGACATGGTTCCTATTCCAAAGGAGGATTAGCCTGGTGAAGGAGCAAAATCTCAAGAAGTGACTAATACAATGAGATAAGTCTTATAAAAGAGGCTTGTGCCGCACTCTGAGGGTGCAGGGAGGAATGACTAAATTGCCCGTGGCTGCTAGCAGGTATCAGAGGAGCACTGATTTTCCTTCAGGGCTCCCTGTGACTATCCTCCTGACAGCCTTGCATGTCTCTCTTACAGGGGATGCCAGAACAGTGGGCCCGCTTGCTTCAAACATCAAATATCACTAAGTCGGAGCAGAAGAAAAACCCGCAGGCTGTGCTGGATGTATTAGAATTCTATAACTCCAAGAAGACCTCCAACAGCCAGAAGTACATGAGCTTTACAGGTACAAGATTGTGAACAGGGCAGCCTGGGAAAAAGGGTTTTCTTGTGGGTGGAAAAGAGCCCTCTGCCTGTTGGCCTGGGGTGAGAGAAGAAAGTACTGGAAGGAGTGGAGATGGTACTTTCACTAGGACAAGATTTTGGAATTTGAGAGTCAAAGCAATGGGTTTTGCATTAAACTTGAGTCTTTACTCTGAAACTGCACATTTAAAAGATGTGACATGTAAAGACATACACTTTGTGCTAGATGATCTAACTTCTGACACTCACTAGCCTTTAATTGTCACTTCATTTCTTTGAGCCTCAAAATGGGAGTAATAATTCCTATCTCTGGAGGTTGTAGTGAGTTAAAAATGAGCTCATTGATGCGAAAGTCCTTCATAGGTTATAAACGACACCATGGAAATGTAGCTGTCATTATCATCGGTATCTTTAATATTGTTAAGTTAATTTAATAACACATTTAATGTATATCTTTTAAGTAGGCAAGCCCAATTTCTTCATCAAGGTACTGATTTTTATCAGCCAAGTGAAAAACAGGTCTGTAATAATAAATGTGCTTTAGATGTACTCTCCATATAAGGGACTGTGTTTTTCAGGGTTGTCCTTTATAGCAGAATTGAGATTAGAAGCCAGGTCCTTTAATCCTCTACCAGCACCCTTTAAGTTTACTACTTGCCTCTAGTAACTTCATTTGGAGAACTCTTTTTATAGTAGAGAAATTTTCTTTTCCTTGACAAGTCATGAGAAGGCCTACATTTCTGGAGACTTACCTTTTGTATAGCTTCTTAGAATGTTAGAGCAAGAAATAGCCCAGGTATGTATATCACTTCCAGTTCCCCATGTTTTGCAGACAAAGCCAAAAAGGGCTTTTCTGATGTGTCTGATTTAGTGGCGGAGCTGGTCTCTTACCTCTGAGCTCAGGGCTCTTTCCAGAGTCCATGCTGTCTTTTTCGAAGGGCAGTATTACTGGGGAAGGTGAGAACCAGGATGAAGTAGCCAATTTTGAAGGATGCTTTCCCAGCAAGTATCTGGCTTGTATCAAAGGGCACAGATGGCGAGGATGACAGACTGCAGCTTTGCTCATGCTGCCATGGTGGTGCCCAGGAGAGGGTCATGCATGTTCCCAGCAGTGTTTCCTTCTTCACGTCTGGCCCCGCTGGGTCTGTCTTACTTCTCGCATTGGAGGACTGGGGCATTCCAAGGAGGAATTGGGGTTGAGGGGTGGTGTGGGGCGAGTTTTCTAGGCAGGAGATTAGAGCTTGTGTTTTAGGGATTTTGTCGTGGAGATAGGAGATTAGAGCTGGCTTTGAAAGCCTCAGCTTCAAAGTCTTCGGAAGACTTTCTGTTTTATGTTTACATGTGTGTAGATGTAGACAAGTGCCATATATGTATATGGAAGTGTAGCTCTGTGGGTTTGCATATATTTAGAATTAAAGCCCACTTAAGTATTCATGAATGAATGCTTATACAATCCAGGTAATTGTGTGTATACTCATCTATGTGAGTAACATTGAGTACTGGTGTATGTGTGTGTACACATGCATGTTCATGCAGGATTTTTAATTTTCTAGAAGTTGAAGACCAGGACCAACTCCAGGCAAACTTTTATGTTTGGCATGGTTTATTTTTAAAGTCATCTTTCTCCTTTTTCTGTTTCCCCTCTCCTCATACTATTATGCTAACACTATCTCAATCTGTATATGCTTGTAGATGAGTGATATCATTTGATTCTCATCATGGCCTTTTGGGATTGGTAGGACAAGGATTATTATCCCCAGTTTACAGGCTCAGAGAAATTAATTAGACTTAGAGAAACTAAGTGAATTGCTTTGGGTGATTCAACTGATATTTGATGGAAGTGTGTTTTAAATTCGGGTCTTTCAATCCATTGCGGTTTATAACCCAAGCCTAATCTTCCAAGCCAATTTTTGTCAACTTTTCTATATTTTCTTCAGCATTTTATTTTCTGTGCTGATTAACAAAAAGTAGTGTAGGGAGTTTAGCTCTACATTGCCAGTGATTTATGTAATATTTTTTAAAAATATATTTTTTATTGATTTGGGAGAGGAAGGAAGAGATAGAAACATCAATGATGAGAGAGAATCATTGAATGGCTGCCTCTTGCATGCCCCCCACTGGTAATTGAACTTGCAATCTGGGCCCAGAATCGAACCCGAGACCCTTCAGTCCATAGGCCAACATTCTATCCACTAAGCCAAACTGGCTAGGGTGATTTATATAATCTTGAACCTGTTTCTTTTCTCTGAACCTTAGATTCCTCATTGGTAAAATGAAGGGATTGGAAGTCCTCTCTGCTCTGTCATTCTGTGCTGTGGAATTTGATTTTGATATGTAGACATGGTACATCTCAGTTAAAAGGAGCAATGCTTACTTGTTTCTTATATGGACCAGATATATTTATTATCAGAATACCCAGTCCTCAAAAACACTAGCATCAGGTTGGGGTTGTGCAGTGAGGACATAGTATTGTGCTTTGTTTTGCCCTAAGCTGATGTTCTTTTGGACAAAAAGAACCAATGAGTTATGTTTAAAGCACATCCTGAATTGATTTTACCAGAGTACAGCTGGATATTCAGGGTTTGTTTTAAGAACATTTTGTCATAGCTTTTGGGTCCATTATTTGTCATAGGACAGAAGAAGTACTACCTGGCACTTTCTTATATAATGGGAATTGGGGTCTTGGACATTCTCTGGGTTTTGTTCTTGGTGAGGAATGTACTGGATTTGGTAGAATATTTTTCCTCTTTAATTCCAGAACAGTCACTTGAACCAGCAAAGTGACTTTCTTCTTGGGTCTTTAGGAATTAAAGAATAAAGCCAAATGCAGCACTTGGTCTTTAAACTTATTTTCTTGCTAAAGTCTCCATTGAGTGTATGTTTCATATTTCATTAAATCTAAGATATCACTGATTTTAAGAGGCATCATTATTTTATATACCACTGAAGAAAATAGGTTGCCAATTAAGATATGAAATGCGCCCTGGATGGGTGGCTCATTTGGTTGGAACATCATCCTGCACACCAAAAGGTTGTGGGTTTGATCCCCAGTCAAGGTGCGTACAGGAAGCCACTGATCGATGTTTCTCACATAGGTATTTCTCTCTCTCGCTCTCTCTCAGTCTCTCTCTCTCTCATTTCCTCTCTCTCTAAAAATCTAAAAATCTATCCTTGGGTGAGGAATTAAAAAAAAAAGCCTTTATAGGACACATCTCTGTTTTAGAAATGTTAATGTGAAAAAACGTACATCTCAGAATCAGTGAAATATGGTAATTACCTTACTGTGGAAGCTTGAATCTATTGTTAGAAACAAGATTCTGCCTTTAATTAGACTTGACGTGATTAATGCCTCTCATTTCCCGAGCCTTCGTCTTTCTCTCCCTGTGGGGAATAGACATGAATGTGGAGGATCCTTTCTAGAAGCCCAAGCTGCAGGCTGGTCATAATTTGTCATGGGTGCTCAGGACAACCCGGCCATGAATCCTCTTTTAGATTCAGGCCTGATGACGATAGAATTGCTGATGTGGATACAGTTCTATCATAGTATTTAGAGTTTGACCAGAATTCAGATCTTGACTCCTATTTAACAACTGTGTGTGCCCTGGGCACATTACTTAACATCTCTGAACCTCAGTTTCCAAATCTGTAAAAGGAAACATAATAAGAGCACTCAGAAATCTTTTGAGGATAAGGGAGGTAATGTGTATAATGTGCCTAGCATGGTATTGGGCCCATAGTACCAGGAATACTGTTGTCATTCTCTGAGCCTGGCAAGGGCTTGACTGGCTAGGCTTCCTTAGCTCTCAAGAACAGATGCGCTGTAATCGTTTACTGACTGAGTCCCTGGTCTTTTTTCCTTTGCAGATAAATTAGCTGAGGATTATAATTCTTCTAACACTTTGGTAAGTCTTCATTTCCTCTATTCTGATACGGGCAGGTGTGGTGGTTAGGGATCGAAGACAGTGTGGCAGATGCAGAGCCTGGGCTGGGAGGCCCTCATCTTGGTCCCTCCCACACTCTGGGCCTCAGAGTCCCTATCTGTACAGGGAACTGCAAAGAAATTGGACTCAATCAGTAGATACCCCTTCCAGCTTAAAAAACTTTTTTTTAATGTTCTAGAAATCCTAACCTTGGAACCAGAAGAACTGGCTTTTAGGCTCGGTTTTTCATTTGCCTTTAAAAGCCAGTTTCTGAGCTTGAGTTTTTTTAATCAATAAAAAGAGGAAGACATACTTTGCCTTACCTGGACATGTCTTCGAAAACCTGAATTTAGAAGAGAAGTCCCTTTCTTTGGTTTGGGTATACAAAACCAGGCTTAGGCCTGATTATTGAGGGCAGCATATTCTGTCCATTTAAGGCAGTGGTTCTCAACCTTCTGGCCCTGAAAATACAGTTCCTCGTGTTGTGACCCAACCATAAAATTATTTTCGTTACTACTTCATAACTGTAATGTTGCTACTGTTATGAATCGTAATGTAAATATCTGGTATGCAGGATGGTCTTAGGCGATCCCTGTGAAA